CACTCTACCCAGGGGGATAGCTTGAGGCTCCGCCTCAAAAAAAAAAAGAAAACTTGGTTCTGCTACTCACTAATTGTATGAACTTCTGTGCTTCAGTTTCTTCACCTATAAATACAGATAACAATAGTCCCACCTTTGCAGATAAGATAATCATATAAATCACTTTGAAATGCTTAGAATATAGTAAGTGCTCAATTGTTAGCTATTAATAGTCAAATCCTTATCACTTGTCCCCTAGACTAGTAACTTCTAATTGAATTTGTTGTCTCCATCCCCACTCAAATATTATCTTTCTGATATTAACATAAAAATTTTGTGTACCTGTAGGTAAAAAGATGACATTTTTATCATTAGTGAGAATTAACAATATTGTTTATGAACAGTTTACATTTTTCTTGGAGGTACTTGTCAGATCAGACTTAGGGAAAAAATTTGCAATCATTTAGCTTTTAAGGCTCAGGTATCAAATATAAAGAGTTAGTAAATGGATTCAATCAGCCAGAATCATGCCTATATTTTCTTACATAAAGACCTCATAAGCTGATGATGGGAGACAATTTGTTGGGAAGAGAATGCTTCAGACATCGGTCTTTTTTGATGTCCTATCTCATAGGCTGAGCTGGATGTAAGGAAGCAGAGACATATTACCTCATCCTTTATGTTCAGACATTTGAGAACAGGGTGGATACTGTGCATCATTCCCCAAGTGAGGTCCAGGAAGATGACAGGCATTATTAGAGTAGGTCCCAAAGATGATTCATCTATAAAGTAGAAATGGTGATATAGCACAAGAGGACTTCAAGTAAAAGTTTTGTAACAATAAAAAGTTAAATTTTTTAAATCAGAGTTAATGACTATGAAAAATTGTACCACTACATTTGTATTTGCATTTTTCTCATGTATGCCCTATCTTATTCATTGATTAGTCGTGTGCCTCTCGAAGCCTCAGCTTCCTCCTTTAAAAAATGGAGATAAAGAAATCTATAATGTGCTTTTCTCTTGTAAATAGGCTCTCATGAGTCTTATCCAAGATCCAATGAATGGTTTATTCATTACCAAGCTGAATAGGATATATATAAATGCACATTATATATATATACACACACACATATCCCGTTTCTACCAATCCTGAAATGACACTGATTTCTTTGGCCAGGACCAGGAGTCTTTGGTCACATATCTGGTCCAGCTGGATAGGGCTCACTATTTATAGTCTATACACCTCTATCAGCAAGAGAAGAAGCTCTCTTGGCACTGCATTTGCTGAGCTGTTTCTCCCCTGAGGGGCTCACTTGGTGTAGTTTGTTTCAGTCCTAGGGAAGTACGTTGGCCTGTGAGTAGATGGGAATCTAACTAGGTTCCCATCAGTCCTACACAACTTTCTTGGAATTCTGTCTGACACCAGAGCTATAAAGAACTTCAATTCATTGTAAGGCACAGGTCCTAAGAGATTCAAGACTCTGAGACACTTTTCCTGGCTGATGGGTCAGATCTACAAGTAGGGAGGACTACCCTCATCTGTTCTTATTTGTTATAATTAATATCCCATGGCACCTGGCTTAGTTCAGAGCCCACGACGACCTGGGGTTCCTTAGCAGACTCCTTTACCTAGCCAGGGTGCAGGCAGCCACATAATTCACTCCATTATTTGAGTGGCTTGAGATGCAGCTTTTCAGGAAGATATTCTTGTAACTTAAAGCCAAGCAGTTGCCTCAGTGTCCACCCAATTGTTTCCATTTGACAATTTAGATTTTCTCCCACAATCACTTCGGTGTGCTCAGTAAATCAGTGTTTTATGCTTGATTTTCACTTTTAGAATTGTATCTCAGCATTATCAGGATCTGATGACAGTAGGCAAACTTTCTGGTGTTGACATGTTTTGTTTTTGGCTGGTTGGGAGGTAATGCCAACATTCTGAGTTCCATGGGAATAGAGCCAAGAGACATTTGGCTTCCTAGTCAGAATTAGCGTCCGTGGGAGCGGATCTGGAAAAATCTTATGGAGGATCTATGGCCAAAACCGCATAATCAAATTTTGTTCCGAATAAGGTCTTTCGTAAGATGTTAGGGAAAAAACCAATATAACACTTGCAGGAGATGTTTTCTTAATAGAGTAAACATGAATGGTTAGGAAAACCAATGAAACGTGAATGAGTGGGTTAATATTTTTTACATTTTTATTCTAAAGTTACCTTTAAGATTAATTAAATCAAATAACTGTTAGCCCTCCTCAGGAGAACTTTCCAACAAATCTCCTTTGGTTAGAACATGTTTTCGATCTAGGAATATTTTAGATTTTTATAAATTAACCCTAGTGAATAGATGTTGCCTATACATCAATTTTGGGGAGGGTATGTGTGTGTGTTTATTTAAATATCACCTTTTTTGAGAAGCAAAAATAATAACATTATACTGTTAAAAACTTTTCTTTCTTACAGTAATCCAAAACTGGAATCAGTGAAAACTAAGCACCTGTGTCTTTGTTTCATTACCAAACTATACATTTCTGTATCAGGAATATTTTAGTGTAATGTTAAATTCATATTTTATAATTATCTTATTAGAAAGTTGTCTGTCACAATACACACATTTTATACTTGCCAGATGAACTGGGAAACCTCAGATGTAAAATTTTGCATTCAAGAACATGCTATATTTTTGACAGGATGTGATACTTACTCAAGTATTTTGATAAGTAATCTGGTGGGATTTAATTAAATATTCCCTTGAGCTAGTGTTTTGAATGGCTACAAAGATAATCTTGCTATAAACCATGCATGCTATCTAATGTAAATATACTCATTTTCCAAATACATCCTCTGCAAAATGCCATCTAGATATGAATGGACTAAATTTAGTACCATTTTTACATTGCTTGACATCTTACTCAGGGATGACCAAAATAGTATAGTTTGCTTTGAAGTGTTTTGCAGTGTGTAAACTGGAACTGAATGACCATGCAAATGAAATTTCAACACTGTATGTCACATGCCAGGCAAGTCATGATTTGCATATCGCCGCCTATAGTTTAATTTCTTTGTTATATTATTGGTAGTGGTTATGTGTTTTATTTTAAAAATGATTATTTAATGTTTTAAATGGATTTTTATCATCTTATAGTTTTAATAAATGCTGTTGGAATGAATGATAAAACAAGTATAATATGTTGGAATTGAAATTTCCAGAAACTTCTATTTCTTATGTAATGAATATATAGAGTTGCATATTTATTTAGGAATCATAATGTGATAGAAGTTTAATTACCTCCCCCATTAAACTTTGACACTGCTTTATAGCTAAGTTACTAAACTGTTAGGGGCGGAGAAGAGGGATCACTTCCAAAATACTTATGTATAATATCACACTTCAGGACTTCTAGGCACCTTATAATTGTTTTGCAATTCAATTTGGAAATTAGTGCCCCCAAAGCTCAGATAAATGTACCAGTGTCATTAAGCACTAGGGGAAAAAACATAGCTTCCTTGTATCCCTGTGGCTCAGTAGAACTTGTAACTCTAGGACCATACACCCTTGCCAATTGCAATGCATTTGGAAATTGAACCTATGAAAACATATAAATAGTTTTCAGGTCAAGATAAAGAGAAATGAAACAGATGTAACTAGTCCTTGCTTTTGTATGTGTAAAGCAACTTGACCAGGATGAATTTAATAGGAATTCCACTCATGAGAACTACAGTAACAGACCTAAAATTCCCAAACCAAACTTTTACACTACCATTAGACTTTCATAATAAAGTAAAAGCCAGAAATCCAGAATTAGTCATTATAATAAACTGTTGTGTCTTTCGAAAAAATGTGAAAACACTTTAATATAATTTATATTATTTCTACATATTAGATGTAAGAAATAATTTCATTTACTCATAAGTACAATAAATTTGATTAACAAAATTCCAATTTACAAAATAGAAGTAAATAAATGCAGAAATATATTCATTATCAAATTACAAAATAAAAGTAACAGTTCCTGCTGATATAGCATCAGTTTATTATTCATTTCAGATACTGGAGTTAATTATTTTGGTATTCTTAGTAATATTTATAAGTATTAAAATAATGGAACGTAGAGATTCGAATATAATGACAGTAAACCACTGAAATTTCACATTCACATTATACAGCTATCTTGAATCCATAAGTGAATGTCAGTATGTAAAAAAATATAAAATGATTGTAATATAGCCACCTAATGATTAACATATGGAGTTTAAGGACCAGTATTTAATTTGCTAATTTGCCCTGAAATATAAGCAGTTGCTTTTCTGTATACATGACGTGCCTTGTGCCTTAGAACTTAATTTGAAATGTCCCTAGTGTAAAAATATACCAACGTAAATAAAAAAGGCGACACTTATTTACAAAACAGTATTGTATACATATTATATAAATGCAATCGTTTCCAAATCTTTTTATACAATATTGATAGAATCAATTGTTTCCATTATTTTATCATAAACACTGCTGTGTTGCAAAGGCAGTGCTGTAATTTTGATTAAAATGTTGGCTGCCTTGTAAGATAATGCAGTTTCTCCAAGTATGCTACAGAATTGAAAGTTGACCTGTAGAAAATTATTCTTCTCTCATTAAAGAAAATTCATTCTCCATTTGGAGGTGTATGAAAATACACCTGAAGAAAGGAGAAACATGATTTTGCTGAATGTTTTTTATTTGATAAACCTGAAAACATCAGCCATTCAGCCTATTGTATTAGCACCATTGGCATGGATTGTTAATATACTGTGCCAATCATAATAAGAATGGAAACTTGCACATGGTATACCATTCCTATTTTTTGGAATTTTATCTTACCAAGTATGCTATCATACAATATGAAATTCAAGTGTTTAAGGACGATTCAAACAATGGTATAAAACAATCCTGCATTTTACCAATACTATATATGGATTTTTCTGTAGATAGTGAATGAAACTGTAAAGAAATCGACTTTAAAGCATGCTCCTTTAATTCATCAGAACACAAGGAGAATTGCTTTCATTCCCTTGCCTGTGTTGTGATATATATGAACGTAAATGTAATTTGATCTCCTTGTAGTTCAAAATCCCTGGAAATCATAAAAATTTTTATTATATACCAACCACTGTGTATAGTTGCTCTTTTAGTTCATATATTGTAGCTTATACTTAAATAACTGTAGCATATTTTAGGCCTGTAGTCTGTGGTACATAATTTCACAGTTTCAAAATTGTTGAGGGGAAGACCTTCCGTGTTTTAGGAAGTTGTGAACCTAATATAAATCTCATGAGCACCCACAGCGGTCTACTACCATGGCTGGAATTTTCCCATATATTATTTGTTCTTTGCCATTAAAATATAGCATATTAATTGGAGACATCTTTGTGGGAGTACAGCAAGGGCCTGCTGAACCTCTGGGGTTTGCTTGGTGTACAAGATGAGTATGAGGATATTTTTGTAAAAATACAAATTCACACTCTCCAGAGCAGTAATTTGCCTTGTATCTTTTGGGTGCAATAATCCAATCCCATCCAAAAGCTTCAAAATCCACAGTGAGAGGGTAACGACAGCATCGCGATTCTGTTGAGTGCTCATCACAGTCAAGACCAAAATCTCTCCTGGATCTTTTCGGTGTGTCTGTTACCTTGACCTCTAAAAAGGGATTCTGTGTGAAAAGGAAAGACAATCAATAGTACTGATTTAGATCTTGAAAGACTTTCCTACCTACCTTAAGAAGTCGTTATCAAAGAAAGAAATGAATCATTTTTCATATACAACATTTATTTTTCAAAGGCACAGCATTCAAGAATTTTCATAGGGCAGTGTCTGTGGCTCAAGGAGTAGGGTGCTGGCCCCATATACTGGGGGTGAAGGGTTCAAGCCCACCCCCCCGGCCAAAAACTGAAGTAAAAAAAAAAAGAAGAAAGAATTTTCATTAACACTAAGCTTTATTTTCCCATATGGCTCAAAAGACTATAACAGCAATACAAATTCCCTTGAGATCAGTTCTAAGTCTTTTTAATTTTTGTTTTTCTAGGTTTGAGTCACACTGCCTGACACCTGATAGGTATCTTAAAAATATTTGTGGAAAGAAAGGTAAGGAAGGAGGAATGGAGAGAGGGAGGAGGGGAGGAAGATGAAGTGGGGGGCGAGGAAACAGATGAGCTTCCTCCCTACAGGCTAAGCATTTTAAATATGTTGGCAGAATATGTCTGACGACTCCTGGAGAGGTGGGGATATTCATCTATCCTCCATTCCCTAGGTCTTTGCTCAGGGAAACTTGAATATTAAAACCAGAGCAAAATAGCTACTTTCCAGCACTATATGGATTATAATAGGAAAAGGGAAAGTTGGCTGATGAAGGGTGGTGGTATGTGTACTGGGTTGGAAGGAGAACCCCTAAGAAGGGAAAGACAGATTCAGAAGAAGAAACAATGATATTTCTTTTATTCTTTCACTGAAAATGTTTCTATTTAGATACTTATATAATAAATTGTTAGCCCTATCCCTGCCCCAATGTTATAATGCATTTGAGACTTTGTTTTCTTTTATATAGAAAATTTTGAAGATTACATCATATTAAACACCTGTTTAATAATTAAAACCTGTCCCATTATCAATTTAATCACTAAGGTGTGACCTATAAAAAGGAACACTTTGTTTTTATTTTTATTTTTTTTATTGTTGGGGATTCATTGAGGGTACAAGAAACCAAGTTACATTGATTGCATGTTAGGTAAAGACCCTCTTACAATCATGTCTTGCCCCTGAAAGGTGTGGCACACACCAAGACCCCACCCCCTTGCTCCTTCCCTCTCTCTGCTCTTCCTTTCTCCACCCCTCCCTCCTTTCTCTCTCTGCTCTCCCCTTCCCCCAACCCCACCGAAAAAGGAACACTTTCTTAAATAATTGATAGTAAGTTTTTATCCTATGTCAAAATGTAAACAGATCTGGTAGTTATTGTTATTTAAGATTGTCAAAAAGAATAATTTCATTTTGGGAGTCATTAACATTTTATGTAGTATATTTAAAGAAAAAAGATCATTTGGAAAATTATATAGTCTTTTAAAGGTTATGTTTTTATTTAAAGTAACCTGATTTGCTAAATATATAATTTTTATAAGCACGAACATTTAAAGAATTTTAAGATAACATATGTTTGCAAGTATAATCTGTTGTAAATTATGTCAATAGATGGAAATAAAAAGACATAATCACTTTAAATAAGGTTTTGAAAATAGACATTAACAAAAGCCTAGGTAAGCCAGAAAAGTAACCCTAAATTTATATTAGATTTTAAATGGTTTTTATTAATTTTTATAATATATGTTATTGTCATTTACTTGGCCTGATATTAAATTAGTTGGCATTCCCTAAGCGAACTCTTGCACAAGAATGCTAAGGCAGCTCAGAAATAAGCTAGGTGGCAAAGGTTAACTAGCCTGTAAATTAAAATTTTATTGGGGGGGCGGTGCTTGTGGCTCAAAGGAGTAGGGTGCTGGCCCCAAATGCTGGAGGTGGCGGGTTCAAACCCAGCCCCAGCCAAAAACTAAAAAAAAAAAAAAAATTATTAGGGGTATTCCACAAAGTCATCTATATATTCATCAATGAATCAATATCCTGCAAATAGTGAATATATTTATCATAAAGGACTTTAAATATATTTAATAACATACAAGCTTATCCATATCACACTAAGTTAAATGCTAATCATTTTACTTCAATCATAATTTTTAAGGTTTGTTTTATCTGCTTTATGCTATGCCAAAAATTTTCAACACATTTGTCAGCCTTCTGGGAGAAAACTAAATTTTGATTTGTTGTTATGCACTAGAATACACCATATGGGGATCATATTTTTATTCATATAATCATGTATCATATCAATAAAAGCCCTTTCTATCATTCCCAATTGAAAAGGATTCCTTAAGAAGTTAATAACTATGGCACAATTTTTTGACATAGTTTTTTTGTATCACCATGCAAAGTAAGAATATCAAGAGAAAATTTCATAGGCTATAAAATTATACATTTATTTTTATTGGACACAGGGCTACCACAGGGTAAGATAGCTTTGTTTGGCTCATGAGCACAGGAAATTGACACTTCTATTCCACCATTGTTCATTCATATTATGAATAAAAACATAACATTGTTAGAATGTAATTCTCAGTTATCACTTACCAGCCCTTCTTCTCCTGGTCCTGGGAAGGTTACAGCAAGATCATGACCATTTTCATCTAAAGCTTTGATTTCAATGCCTAAGTTGGATTCAGGCTGTTTGAGCCAATTTTGCAACACTGTCTTCACATCAATGCTCTGCCAAATACCAGTGCCTGGGTTCATGTCAAGTTTCAGAGATCGGATTCCAGTATACCTTGTACCGTCTTTCATGGGTTTGATGAGTCTCAGGATTTGTACAAACACTGTTGTAGGAGTCTTGACAGGTCTCAGATATATCCACAGTTGGGCTTTTACTACTTTGTTGTATTGTATTTTAGAGCTAAACTTAAAGAAGCAACATTTGGGTTTTCCATCCACTTGCACTAGCAAATCAGCTATAAGTGAATAAGAAAAGAAAGAAATTACTGAATTTATTTCCCATTAGGAAATGAACAACCCCCCTCCATATAAATAGTTGAACATTTTTTCTACCAGGATAATGTATGCATAGGCAATCTTTTAAAATGAAATGCTATGTAGAACTTCACAGCTCAAAAAAAAAAAAAAAAAAAACCACAGAAAATAATTACTCCAGCTTTTCAGAATTTTTTAGATCTATGTATTTTCAGTTGTTCACAAAGAGTCTGTTCCTCTTCCAGAGAACTATGCACAAAGGAAAATTCTAGGAAAGAATGAACAGTGAATGAAATTTTAAAATGATGATGATTAGAGAGAACAAGAGACAGCGTGGAGGAGCAACCACTTAGAATTCTTTGGGAATCTGAGTAGTTACACTTACTGAGCAGCTGTACCAATCAGTCTGGAAGAAGGAACCCTTCCCCCAGGCCTGAATTACCTGGGGACAAGACACACTGAGTAACTTACTGAGCCTCGGGAATTAGTAGAAAATATAGTACATCTGTTATGCTTTGGCTTTGGCCTAGCCTTTTAATGGAGCAAAACTAAGCAGGTAATTAGCACAAAAAATTAGATTTTATATTCAGGCTATCTCAAAAGTTAGAAAGTATTGCCTTTAGGGCCTGTCAGTATAAGCACAAGCAGTAACAATTTCTTTTCTTTTGGTTTTCAAGATTGTCTATAAAAAGGTAAATCTCCAGGATTACTTGATAGCAGTGTTCTAAATGAAAATTATCTGTTGCACTGTGACCTGATTACTTACTAATAGAGATAATACTTTGAAACTGTTTTGAGTTTGTTTAAAGTACATAAAGTGCTGTATTAAAGCAACGTAATAGACACATGGCACAAAATCTTTCTTGTTATGCCTTCTCTGTCAAGGTCCCTATCTCCCTTTCCTGGAGAAACTATTCTTTTGAGCTGACTGTAAAAGAAATTGTATGAAATATATTATCTTTCAGAAGCAATGTTGATACCACAGGTAATAGCCCTTCCTCTTATGAAGAATAAAATATTTCAGAAGTTTATTAAGCAATGTATTTGCTTGGAAATATGAAAACCAGGTACTCTCAACAACAGTATGATGGTCAAGGTACAAGCAGGACTTCATGAGCCATAACCTACCCAATGAAACTGTTTGTTTTTTAGGCATTTTCTGATACTCAGCTCATGCTTATCATTAAGCTAAGTTTAATAATTGCTCTTACCTTACTAATACATTAAAGTATTTAAACATTTTTTATACTCTTCAATGTAACAGCTTTCAAAATGAAATATTTTAATTTGTGAATAAAAAAATACCCTGAGAGATAGTTGTGAATAACAAAATTCACTATGAGAGATAGGTTTGAATAACAAAATTCACTCTCACTTAGGTATTCAGCAGCCCTCAAAACAAGCTTAAACATGTAGCAAGTTTCTTTCTCTATTATTAGTGGAAAAACTTATTATAAATGAATATTTTAGGCACCCAAATGCAATTACAGAATTTCATGTAAGCTTTAACATTGCTTGCAGTATCTCACTGTCCCTGCCTGGTGGTATCAGGCTGTGAAAGCATAGCATGCTATATATGCCACATTAGACCAAACAGCAGCAATGCTGGGCAAGCACTTTATTTTTTAGTTTTTTAGCTCTATGAGGAAACAAATAATGCAGCAGATTTTAGTTTCATTAATATATTTCCCACTTCTTGAAAAAAAAAAAGGAATTATTTTCCCTGCAACTTACATAGAAGCCAACAGCTTGTTAAAAAGAGCCTGAAAATAGATCTGTTTCCCATAAACACTAGAATAACAGTCAGCAGAACTGTTGATATTCACTAATAGCACTACTTACATTCTGTAGGCATAGTAATGATTGTTTCCGTCGTAGCATGATAATCATCATCTTCCAAAGAACCATCACTGCTATCATCTCTCTGGACATCGTACTGATCAATCAGTTCCCGGAGCGGAGGAGCTTTGGGTAAAAGTTGTCTTATAGCATCTTTGCTGATATTAGGAGCTGTTTCCAGGCGAAGTTTGCTGAGGATTTGAATTTTTATGGCTTCTATTCTTGAAGATTTAGTGTTCTGTCTCCAGGTACATGCATTACACAGCCCCTCTTTTTCCACATTTTCTTTTTGCTCACTGTTCTCATTTAGATTCACTGGACCAGCAACAATCAGCATAAATAGGTAAATATACACATAGATTTGCAATTTTTGCATGATTTAAAAAAATCAGTACAATCTCTTTCCTTGTTCTTAGTTCTTCCTCTTGCTTTTCTTTTGCTTTTGAGTAATGCCACACACAATTTTAATGCATGTACAGTCTCAGAGACAACTTGCCACAGCAGTGAATCTTTATACTGTATTCCAAGTGGCTTTTTATATTCCAACTTGGATGAGACAAGTGTCGTCAGGATCTATGATTGGCTCTTGCTTCACAATGAATCTCGCTGTCAGAGGTTAAAACCCTGTCTGTCACAAGTCACCAAACAGTATTTTGTTACAGTCAAGGCTGAGCTGATTCATTTAACTACTTCATAAAAGGAATAAATCTATAAATTATAGAAGATATTTGGGACTTTTGAAAAATTAAAGCCTATATTAGCAATAATATAAATTGTACTTAAATTTTATTAATCTTTATAAAACTCTTGAAATTTAAATAAGTTTTAATTTGTATTTCACACCTAAAATATGAAATGTTACTTCTTAAAAAGTGAAAATGATTTTTTTATTGCTTAGGCAAGTATTCAAAGCAAAAAGATTTTTATTTGTATTGAGCCATTTTAGTGTCAAGCAATTAGTAAAATAAAAATTAGGAAAGCCTGAATTAAAAGAAAAATTAAGGTTGTAATACTTGTGAAAGATTTTCATCTATAATGTGAGCAACTTATTTTCCTGACAAAATTGTTAGCACATGTTGAAAATAATTTTTATTATGTTATATTGTGCAGGGAATTATTTTTAAGTAGTTTTTTTTTATATTAAAATTATGCTCAATTTCTGACTGGTATGCCACATCCTGTTTTAAATACACAGTGTAATATCACTCGGATGTGTCCCCTTCTGACAATGTCAACTACCAAAAAAATCTCTGAATTTAGAATAAGATTATAATAGATTTTATGACTGGCACAGCAGCACTTGTTACAATTTTCCTCAGATTTCCTATAATTAAAGTAAAAAGTATTGTATCTATACTCTATAAATTGTACCAAAATATTGTGAGCACATACAAAAGAAAGAGCACCATTATAGAGGGGTACCCTTTTGTTGTTTCCCAATACAGTAATATGTTTGCACCCCTTTACCAGTTTCTCATTTTGACCAGAGGGCAGACACCTGGCAGGGGTTTGGGGTGAGGTCTGGGAGCAGAGAATAGAGCTTTTTGTTCTCTAAATTCAAGTGGCCTCTGTAGGGATCAAACTCTCAACCCAGCTTTGGGAGCCACAAGATCTAATCAAATGAACTATTAACGAGCTAAACAAATATAGCCAGCAAGAAACAGAAGATATTTCCAGGCCAAAGGAGATTTCTTCTTTCTATACCTTTTTGGGAAGCTAAGGATTCCTAAGAGATTTAATCCATTACTTTTTTTCCCCAAGAGAATGCAGTGGTTTATATCAAATATTTATTTTTTAAGTCACTACCACTTTTGCACACCGTACACTAATTTACTGCCTCGGTGAACTAAAATGCAACTCAGTAGCCTGAAAAGTGAATGCATTTTCATCAAATTCTTAAGAGGTATCTACATCTCTTGAGAATAAACGGCCTGACATAATGCATTGGATTTGCCCATCATTAAAGATTAAGGAAAACCAGACACAAACCAGATGCCCTGAGGATTTCAGAATCTCTTTGTTATGGGATGATATTAAATCAGGCTTATAAAGTTTTATTTGTTTGGTAAATTCATTTTTCAACATATAAATCTTGAAACTATTATAATCATTGTAACATACGCTTCTATACACATCCAAGCATGTCAAACTTTTTTTTTAATAATGTGCTTACAATTGCATAGCCATTGAGAACTCAAGCTCTGGAGTCAGACTCGAATTCAAATCTCAACTTTTCCCCTTCTAACTATGTGATAATGGATGAAATTCTTCTCTAATCTTTAATTTCCTCATAGGGTTTGGGGGGGATATAATTTAATAATGCATGTAAATTGCTGAATGTAGCACCTGTCATATAGTAAGTAATTGATAACTAGTCTTGGAGTGCTTGGTATTCATTTTATTCAGAAGGGTTTGAGATTACACTTAAAGTTATTTTACAGTGAACTAGGATGACTTCAGCTTGTAGCCGCTGATTATCAGTTCACATAGGCGACCTCTTGGCCTCTAAGCCAAGTAAAATTTTCTAAGGCAGCCCTGTCACAAGACATGTTCCAGCTCTTTATTCTTATTACCTGGAATAAAATAAATTCCCAAAAGGTTGTCATTTCCACCTATAGACAGCAACAAAAAGCACGAAAATGTGGACCATGTGGCGCTAAATAGACTGCAAATCAAGAACCGGTATGTCACACTCACCTGACATGCGCAGAGCAGCGGAAAATTAGAGGCTTTGGACACACAGGTTCCCAGCGCAGGGCAAACAAGGCCACGCTCTGCCTCAGTGTTTCAGCTCCCACCCTATAAACAAGGGCTCTTTTGCAGTCAATTTTGCAACAGTCCAGGAGTATTGATTTTTATAAATATATTCTATCAGTTAGATTACCAAATACAGAATTCATGAATAATGAGAATTGTCCATATGGACCCCGAGCATAGTGCTGCAGTGCATTGTAGTATTGGTGACCACAAAAGGCTGTAATGGGAGTAAAATGGTGGCTGCCAGGCACTGTGTCAGAGACCGAGGGGTAGCTACTATTCAACAGAAACAGTTTCAGTTAGGGAAGGTGATTCATCTAGAGGAGGATCGTGGTGATGGTTGCACAACAATGTGAATGTAATTAATGCCACTGAACTGTGCACTTAAAAATGGTTAAAGAAAGTAGTAAATTTTGTTTTATCACAATTCCTAGAAAGCCGTGATGGGCTTTAAGGAAAAATTTTTCTTATGAAAAAATAAACATGTTTAGATAAGCTTTTTCAGGTATGAGTTATGTATAGGACTGTTGGCTATGAGTTCAAGGTTAACAAATAAATGCTATATCTTAAATAATGTATCTTTAAACAGAACCACACATAAAATAAAGTTATATATAGATTGGTTGTGAACAGAGGCTCACCCCACCCTGTATTTCCCCTAGGAACAAGGAATGATTCAGTATTTGTGATGACTTTATAGAACACAAATAGTGAGAATTGACTGTATCTAATCAATTTCTCTAGAGGACAGTATTGAATGGGTTAAGAAGTACTCAAGAGATTTCAAGAATTTAATTCTCCAGCGACAGGGATTGCAACTTTCCTGAGATCCCAGAGCCAGAGGGTTTCCCAGCTGTTAGAACCTTCAATAGGGTCTGACTGCTGGAGGCCTGGTTTCTGTGGCTCTCACAAAGGACACGGGTAGTTGTCATTAGGATAAGTGAGTAGAGAAGTCTTTCTTGACTGGGAGAGCTTGGGTTCTCAGCTTGTGGTCTTGTTTTAGGTCAGCCTTTTTTTTTTAGACAGAGTCTCACTTTGTAGCCCTCAACAGAGTGCTGTCATGTCATAGCTCACAGCAACCTCAAACTCTTGGGCTCACGCGATCCTTTTGCCAGAGTAGCTGAACTACAGGAGCCCACCACAACGCCTGGCTATTTTTTAGAGATGGGATCTTGCTCTTGCTCAGGCTGGTCTTGAACCTGAGCTCAAGCCATCCACTTGCCTCAACTTCTCAAGTGCTGGGATTACAGGTATGAGTCACCACACCCGGCTAGATCAGCCATCTTTAAAACCAGTTTCTCATAAGATGAACCATAGGTGTGGTCCCACCAATCACCCTCCCTCCATCCATCCCCACACCTATGGTTCATCTTACAAGGGTACATGTGAATCTTTCTAAATGCAGAATATAAATGTTTTAACACAATAACTAAGAAAATGCCATGAAGGCTATGTTAACCAGTTTGAATATTTCAAATTGTATATAAAATCAGCACACTGTACCCCATGACTGCATTAATGTACACAGCTATGATTTAATAAAAAAAATAAATAAAACCAGTTTCTCACAGGAGTCAGAATTTATGGGCCTTTGCTGTACCCCACAAGACTCGTTTCCCTCTTTGTACTTTGTGGGCTGCTGTGGGCCTTCTGCTTTCCATAACCATCAGTAAGGTGGCAAGCAAGCTTTTCTCTGTTACAAATACTCATGAGTTGTCTCAAAACAACTTTGAGGGTATAAAGTGTATTTTTAAAAAACATGTTCATGGTTTTACTTTTCCCAGAGTCTAAAAACCCCTACTGAGTGCACAAATGTAAAGACTTGCCAGAAGTTTAATGATATGAACAAAAAAGGAGGAGGAGATTAGTAAATTGAATATGAAGGATCATGCAAAATTTAACTGGTTTGGGAAAAAAACTGGGAAAGTTGTATTTTATCTGATCACGCTTCCATTTCCTTGTAATAACATCCTTTTGGTATTACTTCATCCAGATTATTCTTAAAGTCAGAAAAGAAACTACGTAGTGCTCAACTCATTCAACATCATGAGAAGGTAATCATTCCACATCGATGATAATTGATCACACTGCCTTTCCAAATATTATAAGACCAAAAAGAACAAAAACAAAAGTATTCTTGAGCTAGAGAACAAAAGTACAGGAATAAAAAACAGGAGACATGGAATATAGTTCTTGCTTTGCAGCTGACATTTTATGTAACCTTGAATCAGTCAATTAGTAAAGCCTTCATTTATAAATGTTAAGTATGTATGTATATAAGAATTCATTTATTCGTTTATAAAATATTTGAATGCCTTTTATGTACCTGGCACTGTACTATATTCTGAGGATAAAACAACGAGGCAGACACAATTACTGTCATTATGAAACCTATGATCTAATTTCTTCATATAAAATATGAGGAAATTTATAATCCTACAACTCTGGGAAGCTGAGGCAGGGGGAATGCTGAGTGTAAGAGTTTGAGTTTGCAGTGAGCTATGATGATGCCACTGAACTCTACCCACCATGACAGAGTGAGATTCTGTCTCAAAATTTAAAAAAAAAAAGGGAAATTATTTAATTAGGTATGCTCTTGTAGTTAAAGTTTACCACCTAAATCAGTAATTCTCAAACTTTTTGGTCTCAGGGTTCCTTTATACTCTTAAAAATTATTTAGGATCCTCAAAATCTTTTGTTTTTTTAGATCAGTAATATTTAACATTTTATAAATTAAAACATTTTTAG